TCATGGAAAGGTCAGGGAAGAACATCCCAGGGAGAGGAAATGGTGCAAAGGCTCGAAGGCAGGAATAACTTTGTAGGCTCCAGGAACTCAGAGACGGCCAGTGTGGCCAGAGCACTGTGAGCGAGGGGACAGACACTGAAAGAGGTCAGGGAGGTTGCAGGGGCCAGCTCCTGTTGGACCTGGTAGACCACGGTAAAGAGCAGCTGGGATTTTATTTCAAATTAGAGGCCTGGTGCACTAAATTCATGCATGGCAGGGGAACGGGGTCCCTCAGCCTGGCCTGCACCCTCTCCAATCTGGGACCCCTTGGGGATATCCGACTGCTAGCAGGATCAGGCCTAAACTGGCAGTCGGACATCCCTCTCACAATCTGGGACCACTGGCTCCTAACCGCTCGCCTGCCTGCTTGCCTGATCGCCCCTAACCACCTCTGTCTGCTGGCCTGATGCTCCTAATGGCTCCCCTCCGGCCTGGTTCCTAACTGCTCGCCTGCCTGCTTGCCTGATCGCCCCTAACCACCTCTGTCTGCTGGCCTGATGCTCCTAATGGCTCCCCTCCGGCCTGGTTGCCCCCTAACTGCCCTCCCCTGCCGTCCTGATCGCCCCCTAAATGCTCTCTCCTGCTGGCCTGATTGCCCCTAACCACCTCTGCCTTGGCCCCCGCCACCATGGCTTTGTCCAGAAGGACGTCCGGAAGATGTCTGGTCTAATTAGCATATTACCCTTTTTTTAGTGTAGATGTACACAGATGCCCCTGGAGGATGTGTAAATTTTCAAGTATAGTGTCAAGCATCTCAATAATGTTAGAATCTATTCTGGAGCTGGTTGGCCTTGGAAGGACCCTAAGGGTTCAGGGTTCATGTTGACACCCTGTTTTCCCCTCCTAGCTCTCCACACAATCGGCCCAGTACTCCCAGCAGCTGAAAATGGCCCGCAATGAGTACCTGCTCAACTTGGTGTCCACCAATGCCCACCTTGAACACTACTACCAGGAGGAACTGCCCGCGCTGCTCAAGGCCAGTGCTAGCCTAGATCCCCCTGCCTCTCAGTGGGAAAGGAGGGGAGGACCTTCCCTGCTTCCCACCAGCAGCAGGCTGGGTGGTGTTAGGGACCTAGCCTGCGTAGAGTCGGTAGAAAATACATAGTTGGGTTCTGGTTCTGCTTCTGACTGGTTGCATGACATTGTACAGGACACTTAACCCCTCTGAACCCCAGTTTCTTCATCAGGAATAAGCCCTGCTCTGCCTCCTTTTAAGACTAATGGGGCTCAAGGGAGAAAATGGATGTGAAAATGCTTTTTAAATGGTTAAGTACTGTGCACACTAGGGCTTATTATTAGAAGCAATTAATAGTGTCTGATTCCTTTCCTCTTTCCCATACCTCATGCCCATCACCCATCCAAACCTGGACAGAGAGCCTGCTTTGTGGTAAAGGTCTGGGGGAAGGGTGGTGTCAGTATCTTGGGGTTCTTTCCAGGCCCTGGTCAGCGAGCTGTCGGAACATTTGAGGGACCCCCTGACCTTATTGAGCCGCACAGAGCTGGAAGCAGCAGAGATGGCCCTGGAGCATGCCCGCCGTGGAGCACAGGCAACCTCCCAGGTGGGGGCTGTGCCCTGTACGAGCTCCCCAGAGATGCTCTTTACTCTCTCTCCGAAACAGACCACCCACTGCGTGTCTACTCCCTTTCTTCTCACCTTGTCCTTGCTTCCAAGAGGGGACAGGCTTGGAGAGGGAGCCAGTTCATGACTGACTGACTTCTTCCAACCCCTAGGTAAGCTGGGAGCAGGATCTGAAGCTCTTTCTTCAAGACCCCGAGGTATTTTCCCCCATACCACCTCAGAAGTTTCAGCCCGCAGGGAATGACCAGGTGAGACCTCCCTGATGGTTGGAACCAGGCCAGATGTAAAGGGGACTGTAGTTTAGGCCCATCCCCATTATCCTTCTGATGATATTAACTTAGTAACTTAAACCGTGGAGAGGGGGTTTCAGACTCCAGTTCACCTCCCTCCCACCAGGCACAAATTAACACACTTAATTCCACCTTTCTGTCTCTTCACTGCGCTATCCTCTTCATTCTACATCTGTCCCTCAACTTGGATCCCATTTCTGGAACTCTCTGTGTCTGTGTTCACATGAACGCACACCTGTGTCCAGGGTCATAGGTGTGAACCCCACCTCTTTGTCCCTGTCCCTGGAGGTCAGGACAGAAAGCAGTAAAAAGGAGGGAACGGGAGGGAAGGGGAGTAGAGAAGGAGCAGCATCAGGTCCTCCCCACAGTCCTCACCCCCCCATCATTCAGGTATGTGCCTTGGAGCTGGAGGGGGTTACTGGAGGTGTGGCTGGGGAGAGTGACCTGGAGAAAGAGGTTCAGCGCTGGACGAGTCGAGCTGCCCGAGACTACAAGATCCAGAACCACGGGCTTCGGGTGAGGAGGGGGGTGCAGGTGTCATGGGTGGACAAGGATATCTGAGAGATGGGGATCCTGGGGTCACTAGGGATGTCCTAGTGCAGGCAGGAGGGGAGGGAAAGGTATTTTAAGCCAACGGTGTGGCAAAGTAGTTAAGAGCACAGCTTTTGGAGCAAGACCCACCTGGGTTCAAATCCTGCTCTGTTACTTCCAGGTTATGTAACCCTGACTCAGGGAGTGACTTAACCTCTCTGCACCTGTGTCCTCATCATTAAAGCAGGACTAATAATAGCACCCACCCCATAGGGAAGATCAAATGCTATAATGCATATGAAGCCACTAGCAAAGTGCCAGGTCCATAGTAAGTTGTGTCCCATAGTATCTCCATCACCCCGTCCTCTGCTTCCCATCCAGGTGCTGCAGCGGCTGGAGCAGAGGCGGCAGCAGGCTCCAGAGCGGGAGGCTCTGAGCATAGAGCAACGGCTGCATGAAGTAAGGCAGAGCATCCTGCGGGCACAGGTGAGACACCTGGGGGTTAGGGTCCTGAGATCCTACCTCCTCAGCCAACAGCCTCCTCCTCTCCCTGTCTGATGGTGGGAGGAGGTAGGCAGGAGGTAGAGGGTGGTCACATTTGGGGAGGTTCTACTCACCTCCCCAAAGCAAGCCCAGCCACAGACTTGATCCCCCTCCCCATGCCAGGTGAGCCAGGTGAAGGGGGGTGCCCGGCTGGCCCTGCTGCAGGAGGCTGGCCTGGATGTACAGCACTGGCTGAAGCCAGCCATGACCCAGGCCCAGGACGAGGTGGAGCAGGAGCAGCGGCTCAGCGAGGCCCGGCTCTCCCAGAGGGACCTCTCTCCCACGGTGAGTTCCTTCTGCTCCCTACCCACACCCACCCAGGAGGGTAAAAGTCCCTAGTGGAGGGCAGGCCCAGTAACATGGGAACCACAACAGTACCTAAATCAAAGGGTTGTTCTGAGGCTTAAATGAAATCACTTAAGTATAATTCTTCACATAGTTTATAGCATAGAGTCCTCAACAAACTTATATTGAGTATAGGATGGTGGTTATGAGCCGAGGTTCTGGGGACAGACCGTGCGTGATTCGTCACTTATTAGCTGTGTGATCTTGGAAAGTGACTTAACCTTTCTGAGCCTCAGTTTTCTCCTAAGTAAAATGAGGTTAATAGTTATACAGAATAACAGTGGGTTATGATGAAGTTTAAGTAAGATCCGTAGTTAGCACTGTGCCTGGCACATAGTAAGTGCCCAGGACTCTAACTCTGCAGTCACTGTCAGTCTTACCCTGCCCTGTGGTGATTTTTCTGGTGACATCTGGTGAACGGATGGGTGGGGCTACCTTGGAGGAGGATGGAGGAGAGGGAGATACAATGGGTACTTGAGAGTGACAGTGACGTCTGTTCTCTGTTCCCCTCCCTCCAGGCTGAGGATGCTGAGCTCTCTGACTTTGAGGATTGTGAGGAGACTGGAGAGCTCTTTGAGGAGCCTGTCCCCCCAGCCCTGGCTACCAGACCCTTCCCCTGCCCCGCACATGTGGTGTTTGGCTATCAGGTGTGAATTGGGGGGTGGGGACCTCAGATGGGCAGGGATGGGGGACAGCCGAGTCCTAAATCCTTCCTTGCGGGGCCAAGGCAGGACATGAGGATGAGCTGACTATCACAGAAGGCGAGTGGCTGGAGGTCCTAGAGGAGGGAGATGCCGACGAATGGGTCAAGGTGGGTATGGACCCTGGGCTCTGACCTTGGGAGTTGGGGGCAGTGGGAGGGACTTCCCGGTGGCCCACAAGGACTCAGCCAAGCAGAGCTAGAAGCCTGAGTGGAGGAGGGTCAGGGCCATGGATATTATCTGTTCTCATTACTGGGTGAGCAGGCTCGGAACCAACACAGCGAAGTAGGCTTTGTTCCTGAGCGCTATCTCAACTTTCCCGACCTCTCCTTCCCTGAGAGCGGCCACGACAGCAGCATGCCCTTAGGGGCAGAGCCCACAGGTAAGAAAGGAGAATTCTGGGTCAAAGGATGCTGGGTATGGAGAAGAGTTACTGAGTGGTTGTGACCCTAAGGTGTCATGGTCCTGGGCACCACCATGACCTCCACCCCTCACCACTTCTCCCGGGTTTCTGCAGCATTTCTGGCTCGTGCCCTGTACAGCTACACGGGACAGAGCGCAGAGGAGCTGAGCTTCCCTGAGGGGGCACTCATCCGCCTGCTGCCCCGGGCCCAGGATGGAGTGGATGACGGCTTCTGGAGGGGAGAATTTGGGGGCCATGTTGGGGTCTTCCCCTCCCTGCTGGTGGAGGAGCTGCTTGGTCCCCTAGGGCCTTCTGAGTCTTCAGACCCTGAACAGGTGAGACACTCTGAGTTGACCCTCCTATTCCATTGAGGCCCCATGTTCATCTTAATGCTCCCTCCCCTCTCCAGGTTGACCTCCCATAGTGGCTTGGGCCTCCCCATCTCCTCTGGCTGGGCTGAGAAAAGGGAAACCAAGGCAGTCTTCCTAAGAGTTTGGTGGTGCTACTTCAGTGCTAGATAGATCTGAGTTCTGATGCCTATTACATTACCTTGGGCAGTTTTGACCTCGCTGAGCTTCTTTCTTTACGTGTAAAAAGGGAATAATACCTACTTCAGCAGGCTAACTATCCTGACTGTGGATAATGGCGGTAAAGCCCTTAGCACGGAGGCCCACAGGAGGTGCTTTAAAATACAGTACTTGCCCTAGCTCAGTGATTCTCAACCTTCTGGCCCTTTAAAACAGTTCCTCATGTTGTGACCCCCAACCATAAAATTATTTTTGTTGCTACTTCATAACTGTAATTTTGCTACTGTTATGAATCATAATGTAAATATGATATGCAGGATGGTCTTAGGCGACCCCTGTGAAAGGGTCGTTCGACCGTCAAAGGGGTCGCGACCCACAGATTGAGAACCACTGCAGCTGGTTTGGCTCAGTGGATAGAGCATCGGCCTGTGGACCAAAGGGTCCCGGGTTCGATTCCAGTCAAGGGCATGTACCTTGGTCGCAGGCTCCACCCCAGCCCGGGCCCTGGTCAGGGCGCCTGCAGGAGGCAAACAATTGATGTGTTTCTCTCACATCAATGTTTCTGTATTTCCCTCTCCCACTCTCTCTAAAAGATCAATGGAAAAATATCCTCGGGTAAGGATTAACAAAAATAAATTAAATTAAAAAAATAAAATACAGTACCTATTGTTATAATGCAGCGGGAAGAGCATAGGAGTGGAAATCAGGAGACCCTGGCTCTAGCCAGGACTCTGCCAGTAACTGGTTCTCTGATTTTGGATAGATGGCTTAATCTGAGTCTTGCCCCTAATATAGGAATCGTAAAGATCCCTGTCTCATGGGGTGGTGGTGAGGAGTGAATGAATTGGTGCACATGGAGTGCTAGCAGAATGCCTGGGACATAGTGTCAGTACACATTGGCTGTGGAAATGAGTATCAGCTACAACCCCCACCCAGATACAAGCATTTGGCACTCTTGGTATTGGGGAGTGATGGGACAGGAACCGAAGATGGGATGAGAGGACAAGCTGGTGAAACCTTCCCATGTGCCAGAAATAACTATGCCCCCTCATCCTCAGATGCTGCCATCCCCTTCTCCTCCCAGCTTCTCCCCTCCTGCACCCACCTCTGCCTTGGATGGGGCCCCTGCACCTGTCCTGTCTGGGGGTAAGTAGAGGGAACTAGGGGTTTGGGGAGGGAAAGAGGCTGGAAGGAGGAATCTTGGGACGCCTGGGTTACGCTTGGCTCTTCTCCTCGCCCTTGGGAACCTCTGCCATCAGGCTCATCGAAGCGTGATAGTGAGAAGAGCTTGGGCTGTAAGGCCAGGCCCAGTGTTCCCACTCCACTCCATGACTCCCTAGTGTGTGATTTGGGGTGAAATGTTTAACATGTCTGGGTCTTTACAGAGTGGAGTTGTTGTGAGTTAAAAAGATGTCTGTAGAGCCCTAGCTGGTTTGGCTCAGTGGATAGAGTGTCAGCCTGCGGACTGAAAGGTCCCGGGTTTGATTCCAGTCAAGGGCACATGCCCAGGTTGTGGGCTCAATCCCCAGTGGGGCCATGCAGGAGGCCGCTGATTAATGATTCTCTTTTATCATTGATGTTTCTATCTCTCTCTCTCCCTTTCCCTTCCTCTCTAAAATTAATAAAGTCATTTTTTTAAAAAGCTGTCTGTAGAGTGCCCAGCATTGTGCCTGGCACATAGCAAGCATGCAAGCCATGGCTTTGTTCTAATTCTTTTAAAAATTAGCCAGCTGCTTCTACAGTGTTTTCCCAATACACATCCTCTGCTCTTAAGTCTTTTTGAATGTTGCAAACACCTGGGTTTGTGTCATAATTTTCCTTCTTGAAGTGTTCACCTTTGCTAAAGCCTTCCGGTACTTACACTCTCTTCACAGAGCCTCCTTCCATAGCTCACTTGGAATGATTCAGCACTCAATCATTCATTGTGCTTGTTGTGTTTCATTATTGGGTCCCAGGCAACCACTGGGGTGGGGGTGCTGTGGATCCCACCTCCCCTTCTCTGAAAGCTTGTGCAAGGCTGCTTATACAGTAGGTGCCCCATAAGTGTTGAGGATGGATAGACTGATGGACTCTATGGCCAAGTTGGTGACTATTTGTTAATTCAACAAGTATTTACAGAGTGCCACTGTCTTAAGTGCTGACGATATAGCAGTGAATAAAACAAAGTCTGAAGACTGACTTGTGGTTCCTGTTTCCAGACCAAGACCTGGACTGCCCTGGACCCCTGGACATGATGGCGCCTCGACTCAGGCCGGTAAGAGCCTCTCCCTAGAGGAGACTGTGTAGAGAGGGGTCATTCCAACTTGTCCTGTTTGGTCTGTAGGGCTGAGGGAATGAACAGGGACATCCCCAATAGAGGCCTCTGGAGCACTGACTGTGTGTTCCCTACAGATGCGTCCACCGCCTCCCCCACCAGCTAAAGCCCCAGATCCTGGCCGTCCAGATCCCCTCACCTGAAGCCAGGGGTACTACTGCCCCCAGAGATGCTGCTGCTGCCCTGTCTCCGTGCTGTCAGAGACCACCCTTCAGTGATCCGGAGTGACACAGCCAGAAGCTGGAATCCCCCCCATTTCTGCTCTTATCTCCAGGGGTAGAAACTGCCCCTTTCCCAATTCTGGGTCTGGGACTCCTCCTTTTCCCCACATTGTCCGTTCTCTTCCTGTCTCTAGGGCTTGAACTACCCCTTTCTTTTTTACCACCACTCCAGCTCTAGAGTGGTGAAATACCCTGAAATCTCTGGGGCTGGACCCCATCCCCCAAAGTCTTGAGTGGCTCTGGATAGTCTGTCTCCACCCTGGCTCTGTGACCCACCCCACTCCAGATGCCAGGACCACAGGGGTTGGGGGCTGGGACGGGGCGGACCTGTCAGAAGGAGTTGGAGCCATTATGTGAAACAACTGTAGTGGTCTGAGCAGATTTATTGACAGTGAATAAAGGGCAGGGGGCCTAAGGTGCTATTGCTTTAGGGGGCCTGATCCCAGTTGCCACACTCTAGCATATGGAGCGAGGTGATGGGGAACGTGGGTCAGGCAGCCTGTTGGCAGGCAAGGAAAGGGGACTGAGGGCCAGGGATGGGAGTGGGGGTGGGGGTGCCTTCTCCCAATGTCCTCCAGGCTGAGACGGATTAGGACCGGTCCCTCAGCTGGGGGCAGTGCTGTCCAGTGGAAAGGAGGGGCTTCATGGCCACCCAGCCCCTGGCTCTGCAACTGGTAGTTCTTCGGCAATGAAGGAGGAGGCTTGGGGAAGAGGAAGGGTAATAGTGTTGCCTCCCAGTAAAGCTGTATTCCAGCTTTCCCCTGGAGGCTGTGGCACCTTCCCTATTCCCTGGAGCACATGCCTGGTTCCCACCACCAAACCAAAGACTATGTAGCAAAGGAAAAGCCTGCAGTTTACCTTGGGGGGTACGGGCAGCCAGCCAATGGGCTTAAGTAGTGTAAGTAGGGGGTGGGAGGATGAGATTATCTGACTTGAAGCCCAGGCACACTTACCTCACACACCTTTTGCTCCCCGTGCTGGAGACACCTGAGTGAGAGGAGGGGTCAACAGTAGAATAGGATGTGAGTCCTATCAGTGCACCCCATCCCCAGAGTAAAGGGCAGTAAGAGCTCAGCCCACCACAGCCCTGGCCATGTCTTCATACCTGGTGATCTGATGTGTCCGGTTTGTTTGGCTGCCCATTGGCCTCTTGACTGGCCAGCCCTGGGCTTGGGCCCCTCCCTCCAGCCGCCAGCGGTGACTCTGCAGAGGCTCCAGGGTTCCCTCCAAGTGCACAAGGGACTAGGGTGCTGTCCCTGAGTCCATTCTGCACTGCGGGGCTGGCAAGGGCCTGGGGCTGTGGCCTCTCAGGGGGCAGGCTTTCAATGGCTGGCATCCCTGCCCTGGACTGCCCTTCCCCAGACCCTTGGCTGCCCCCTGGGTCCTGCCCCCCACCAGACCCCAAGCTCCTGTCTGTGGGGGAGCCATCATGATGCTCATGCAGTCCATAGCGCCTCTCAATGTGTGTCACCCGGAACCTGGGAGGGAAGGGAACACTGGGTCTTAGGGTCACAGCTCTGGGGCTGCTTGGCCCTCCCCTCCAACCAGGGATATCTTTGGTTTGATGGCCACTTCCCTCTAGCCTCGGGCAGCGGAGATGTCAGATTGTGGGGCATACTGTATAACCTACTCTTGCTGTAGGTCACAATCCAGGAGTAGAGAGGTGGGGCCCACCTTTGGAGTCAGGATCCCCCACCTCAACCTCCCCCCTGCGGCACTCTATCCCCACCTGCCCACAGAGAAAACGGTGGTCTCCCCAGGCCGGGCACGGCTCTTTCCTTCCTTGGAGCGTCCCTGACGGACAAGTGGGGGCCTCTTGTTGCGGCTGCAGTGGATGCAAGGGGCTGCAGAGCCCAGGTGCACTGTGTGATGATGGGAGGGGGCTCCATCCTGCAGGCTGGAAGTGGCATCCACGCTGGACAGTAGAGAGGAAGGGAGCAGGGGTGACATTTCCATTTCTCTTCCTGTTCTGTTTGTTCCTGTTCTTTTAGCGTGCTCCTTAAGCCTCCAGATGCCCACTTTCCCCAGGCCCCAACATTCTTTTCTGTCTTTATCCAATAAACTCAATATTAAGACGGTAGTGATCACGTGTTCTCCTTCCCAGAGCTGTTTTCTAAAAAGAGGGCAGTGCTTAACCCAAAGGAGTGGCACAAAGGGTGAGTGGGAAGCTTGATGATATCCAGAAGGGAGGTATGATTTGAAGGACTTGAGATTTCTATATAAACTTCTTTCTTCCTATAGATTAGCCAGCTTTGCCCTCCCCCGACCCCAAACATGCGAGGAGACTGGGAGAGGATTGTGCTGGAGGAGAGGGTACTCTCCAAGGCAAGCTAAGTCATGCTGGCCTTTGTTTCCAGCTCACCTGGACAGCTGCACTGTCCCTTCTCCTTCACTGTCCCCCAGCATCTCCTTCAAGGCCTCAGCATTGGCTGAGGGGAGAAGGAAAAGAAGGAGTCAGTGGAGGTGGAGCTGGAGGTCAGGTCGAGAGAAAGTCAGGGGGTGGGGGGTGGGGCGCTTATACCCACCTTCATTTTGGATGATACAGCGAACAATCCTCTCTACTGTGTCCTCATTCATGTCATCGTCGTCAGCTAAAGGAAGAAAAAGGTTGACAAGGAATTGGAAGTGAGTCAGCTTTGGGGGACATTACCAGGTGGCTCCTGTGGCTTATTGCTCAAGATACAACCGTGTGCCTATTGGTCATCGTGCTGGGCATTAGCATTTCAGGGCCAAGGCAGAAAAGATGAGAAGTCAATGGGAGCCCAAGATTACCATCAGTGGGCCCTACCCACCCATGCCGCCTTCTCTAGCCTTGCTTTCAGGGCGGTGTCACCCCACTTGCTGACCCAAGGAAGCATCACTTGGCCTTTTGAAGGCTTGGTTGGGACTTGACTGGGTCTGTTGGCCAGGAAGGCAGAGGTGTGGGGACAAGGGTAAGGAAAAAGACTGAGCCGGGTTCTAGGCTCCTCACTCACGGGGCTGGAGCTGGGTGTCATCAGGCTCCGAGCCCCTGGATGTGCGGCAGCGGTAACCCTTCTTCTTGAGCACGTGGCAGATCATGAAGCCCACGAGGCCCATGAGGAAGAAGACCAGCACAAGCAGGAAGAGCATGTACAGTCCATGTTGGGGTGGCTCCAAGTCAGGCTGTGGTTCCGCCATGAGGCCCTGGGGGGCGAGCGCGGGCCAGGGCGCCTCCCGGGGTTTGGGGGCTGCAGCTAGGGTTGGGGGAGGGATAGAAATGCCATCCTCAGGATCTGAAACAGGCAGCCTCGGAGGTCCAGCCGCCCCCCCCTCCCCCCGCCACCAGGTGTAGCTGTCCGGGCCTGGGGTGCTGGTCAGGGCCAGGGGTGCTAGACCGCGGCTGCGCAAGCCCTCTCCCCTGGTTCCGCTTTCCGACGCCCACAGCGTCCCTTCCCAGTTGTCCTGCGCTCCCGTCCCTTCCAAGGACACTACAGAGCGAGATGGGACGGAATTCGCAGGCGGTCAGCGCAAGAATCGCGCCTGAGTCAGCGTCCGCACCTCCTCCGCACCGGCCAGAGCCAGGCCTCTGCAGCCCCTCTCTATCTGTACTCCAGCACCCGCCCCCCTTTCGGTCCCTCCCATTCTGACCACCTGGCCCACCCAGTACCGGTGGTTTGGTTCTGGCTCCGGCTCCGGCTCCTGCTCGGGTTCCGGCTCCAGGGGCGTCCTAGTCCGGCTCAGGGCCCCCGACGCCCTCCCGGCTCTCATCCCTCTCTTCCTTCCCCTCCCCCCTTCGCCGCCTCACCGGCTCCGGGCTGCGACTGCAGATACCGGTGCCGCGGCAGGCGGGGGGGAGGGAAGGATGGAGAGGGATGCCGCCTGGCTGGGAGCAGCGGCAGGTTCCCGATAACTCCGGCCCCGGAAAGGGGAAGGAAGAGATGGGGTGCGCCGCCGCAGCCACCCTGGGTTCCCAAAAGCCTTCGCCCGACGCCGGCCCAGGACCAGGGGGCGGAGCGCAGGTGTGCGGGGCGGAGAGCGAGGGCCTTGCGGGCTTGTGAACGCAAATGTGGTGTGCGCGTGACTGCGCCGGGCCCCCCCGGGGAGTGTGCGGCGCCGAGCCTGGGTCCGGGTGGGGTGGCGAGGCGTCAGGCGAGCGTGTTCTCTAGTCTATCCCGCACGCCCGGCGCGGCTCCTGCCCCTAGATACCCCGGCCGGGTGGATAGCCAGGAATCTTCCCAGTGGCCGGGGGAAGCCGGCTTTCTGCACCCGAGAGGGGCGGTGTGGCCGGCTCTCCCGAGCCTTCTAGAGAGGTGACCACGGCCTGCACCCGGTTTAGGACAGGTGGCTGGACGGGATGTCTCGGCTTCTCGAGGATTTGAACCCCGCCTGGGAGGAAATGGCCCTGGCATCCCAGAATCGATGCCACCTGTCTTCTGCCCAAGCCCAGACGCTCACGCCCAGAACTAGCCGCAGGGGGCGTGGCCTGGGCGTGGCCCAGAGGAGGCGCAGCACGTACGACGGGAGGTGGGGCCGGCAGCCGGGCGGGCGGCTGAGGCGCGGGGCCTGGTCCCGCCGGCACCATGGCCAAAACCGTGGCCTATTTCTACGACCCGGACGTGGGCAACTTCCACTACGGTGAGGGAACAAGGTGGCACCCGAGGGGTTCGGGACGCGGAGGGGTGGAGGCTGGGGCTACAACTGACGAACTCTCTTCTCTGCTCCCAGGGGCTGGGCACCCTATGAAGCCTCACCGCTTGGCGCTGACCCATAGTCTGGTCCTGCACTACGGTCTCTACAAGAAGATGATCGTGAGTTCCGCCGCCTCTGCTGGGGATTGAGGGTGGGGGCGAGCTGCGGCCCTAAAGCCAGGTAGGCCGCACTGAATGCACCGAGTGAGACCCACCCAAGCGCGGGGGTGGGGGCAGGCTGGATAGAAGGCACCAGGAGCACCCCCACCCCCACAGGCAGAGTGCTGGTGAGCGCACCCACCCATTTCATGGGAGTTACTCTTTCACCTTAGGCCAGCCACCCTTTGACCTCAGGTGGACTCACCCTGGGCGAGTTAGGGTGGAGTGGGGCTGGTTTGAAGACTGAGGTGTTTTTCTCCCCAGCATTTTGGGGTGTGGGCAGTGCTTTAGCCTCAGAGAAGGGAAAGGGGATGTGAGGTTTACACTCAGTTTCTATCCCTTCTCCTCTGCAACCCGGCTCCACCAACAAGGAGCTGAAGCTCCAGGGAGGACCATAGCCCTCTGTAAATGTGTATGTGAAGGGTAGCAGATGTCCTGGGTATTAACCTTTTCAACCTAGAATACCCCCACACAAGTAACCACTACCCAACCCTTCATCTCCCAGGGAAACATGCTGTCTGTCCCAGGCTTGGGATGTGTAGCTGTCATACCCGGTTATAACAGTTAAGCTCAGCCCTCATGCGTGGCAAGGGGAATTAGTCAAACTATGAATGAGTGTCCACTGCTTGTGCGGAGGCACAGACAAGTGAATTGGTCATAGAAGAGATTGAGGTGATGTTGGTGCGTGAATCTATGAATTTCTGAAATCTTGTGCTGGTATGTGCCTATGTACATTTTCTGGGGAGAGAAAGGCTTTTTGGTTTTGCCCAATTTCTAAAGAAGTATGTGACGACCCCCCCACCCCCCCCTCCAAAAAAAGATAAATCTCTGGCTTAGCACCTGGGTACTTTGAGCTTTAATTAGAAGATGTTCATACATACCATATTATTTGATTCCAAAAGAACTCAGAGACAGAAAGAGCAGAACCAGAGCCCAGGGGAGGAGATGGGTATGGAGAGAATCAGGAGAGGAGATCCAGGGAAGAGGGCAGTGGATCGGGGCTCACAGTTGAGGAGGTAGGAAAGGCTAGGCTGGAGGTGGGAAGGAAAAAGGCAAGTCCAGTGGTCTTTAGGGGGCTTGATCATAATAAACCACCGGGCTTATCAGAGCCTCTCTTCTGCCTCAGCATAACAAGGACTAGGGGTAAGGGTACTGCAGGTGTGGTTTTGGATAATCCCCAGGACTGGTTCAGTGTGGGTGGTCTCAGCTCCATGATTGAGACTGACCCTGCCTGGATTCACCTTGTGTTTCTGTCCTGAGGTCTTCAAGCCATACCAGGCCTCCCAGCATGACATGTGCCGCTTCCACTCTGAGGACTACATTGACTTCCTGCAGAGAGTGAGCCCCACCAATATGCAAGGCTTCACCAAGAGCCTTAATGCCTTCAACGTGGGCGATGACTGGTGAGAAGACTAGGGCGTTTGATGCCAGGCATATCAAGGAGAACACTTGAGTGAGGTCTTGGAGGCAGCACGTGGGAAGTTGCTGAGTCAATGAGTCATCATTTACTCATTGGTTTATTCAACAAATATTTATTGGTCATTTGCTCTAGTTCCAGGCCCTGTGCCAAATGCTAGGGATGCAATGATCAACAATAGCAAAATTTTAATATTATAGTTGTGGTGAGTCCTATAAAGGAGAGGTACATGACAGCATATGAGGGAGAGTTACCCAGCTTTAGGAGTCTGGTCAGTGGAGGCTTCCTAGAGGAAGTAATAAAGATTGAGCTGAGATCTGAAGAAAGAGTAAGAGGTAATTAGGTAACAGTGGTTGGGAGGAGAGAGAGTGAGGGGAGGAATGTCATGGGCAGTAGGGATGACATGTGCCAGGGTCTGTGGTTGGATAGAGTATGACTCATTTGAGGAACAAAAATGGCTGACCCCAGAATATGAAGAGAAGAATGATCTGAATTGAGGCTGAAGTGATAGGCAGGGCCTTTAAAAAGTAGACAGCCTTATGATGAATTAGAGTTTTTACCCCTAGAGGAGAGGCAAGCCTTCAAAGTGTTTTAAAAAGCAAGAGAGCGAGTAGATATGATCAGGTTTACATGATTGGGCTTGTACCACACCAAGAAAACTTAGAACCTTTGGGAAAGGGAATGGATAAGAAACATAAGCCCTGATCCTTACTTACATTCTAGTGTGCACCCTTGAAAATAGAGTGACCATAAAAGCTATCATTTACTCAGTTTCCTTTTAAACTTTTTATTAGGGAAAATTTCAGACATTTCTGAAAGAATAGTACAGCAAACCCCATACATCCATCATGCAGCTGCAACACTTGTAAGCAAATCTTCATTTGTATCCCCTCACCTTAGATTATCATTTTTAAAAAAATTTATTTTTGTCATCTGAGGATATGTTATTTTTACTGATTTTAGAGAGAAGAAGGGGGGGGGGGGAGAGAGAGGAAGAGAGAGAAAGAGAGAGACATTGATATAATAGAGAAACATCAGGAGACAACAGTTACCTCCCTCACATGCCCTGACTGGGGATCGAACATGGGATAACACTCCAACCAACTGAGCCACCCTGCCAGGGATCACGTTAGATTATTTTAAAACAGTTCCCAGCCCTGGCTGATGTGGCTCAGTTGGGTGTCATCCTGTGCACCCAAAGGTTGCCGGTTCCATTCGAGGCAGCCATTGTATGTTTTTCTCTCCTTCTCCCTTCCTCTCTTTCTAAGAATCAAAATAATTCTCAGATATTATATACTTTTATCTGTGAATACTTTATGTATCTCCAAATGATCCCCTTAAAAAATGTACAATGTTACTATCACACCTAAAAAATTAGCAGTAATTCCTTAATATCGGAGATGCAATCAGTATTCAAATTTTTTCCAATTGTCTTATAATTTTTCTTTATTGCAGTTGATTTATTTATATTAGGATCTAAACAAGTTTCACACATTACATTTGGTTGATATATCTCTTAAAATTCTTAATCTGTAACATTTCTTTCCCTTGAATTTAATTCTTGAAGAGACCAGGCTGTTGATCCTGTAGAGTTTCCTACAGTAGCTACCATGAGTGCTTACTCTGCTATGCTGAGGATTGCTGCTACATCCACTTCTCACACTAACCCTGAGATGTAATAGTCCTTTTCCTGGTGTTGGGTGTACTGAAGTTTGAGGAGATTTAGGTAACTTGCCTGAGTCACATAACTGGTCAGTGGAGGTGGCAGAATTCAGATTCAGAGCCCAGGGTTTAAAATACTACACTAATCTGTTTCCCTAAAATATCCTATCAATAGAAGTAGCCTGGGCTGGAGAAACAGACACCAACGCCTCAGGCTGGCATTGAGCACCTCCTGGAACGCCTTATGTTCCCCCTTCAGCCTCTCCAAGGCCTTACCAGCCTTCACACCACCAGGAAGTTTCACACCACAAAGCCTGTCCTGACCACTCCAGCCGCAGAGGTCTGTCCTGCACACACTGCACTGTCATTTGGTGTTCAGTCACATGTTGCCTTGGGTGGTTTCTTGGTTTTTTGTTATTGCTGCTACTGCTATTTCTGAGTTCACTTTATAGGTCTGCGAATGCAGAGTCAGCCCTCAGGGCACAGCTGGGGCCGTGAAAGCCCTTTGTGCACTTAGGGAATGCTACCACTGGGCCCTTGGCGCAGCATCCTAGTGTCAAACTTGTGCTTATCTGTATTTCAGATGAGAATTAGGGATTTTCCTTTCAACTAATTTCGGACAGTTTTCAAAGTAATCTAATATAAAAGCTAAATTATACTACAAGGCTTTTAATGGGAAAAAACACACAAACCAAAACAGTCCCAGAACTGTCCCTTCCACCCATAGATCCCTCTCCCCAGTGGCAGCCACTTTTAGC